AGTAGCTGTGCGTCCACACTGTATGGTGTGAGACCCTCTGCAGAAGCCCCATTACTTCTACAGCCCATACCCCGGGCCTGATTTGGTGTCTATGTGGGACTAGCATATAATTGACATATTCTTTCTGTTCATTGTTCAACTCAATCATCTGGAATAAGGCAAGGAATTTACTGCACCAGCCATAGCGTGAAACTGAGAGGATGTTCCATATGCTCTGTGGTGTGTCAGGGGGGCTTGTAGGAATACTGGGGGCTACAGAGCTCCTCATACCATATTCAAGGGCTGCACAAGGTGGAGGGAACCCTACCCAGTACAGTCTCATCCGGGGGGTGGTTGCTGGTGTAAATTACCCCAAACTGCTCAACAATATCTTTAGGCAAAGTGGTTGGAGTGGCACATAGCAGAGCCAGGGCTGCCCCGGGTTCCAAGGATGCTAAGGGAGCAGGGTGTAAGCTGGTCCTGAGACCACTTTTAGTTAGCATCTCGGCCACTTCCAGAGATCCTAAGAAGGGCCTCCTCTAAGCAAAGGATGTAAAACCATATAATTAAAGGTGCGGGTATTAAAATGGCTGATGTGTAGACCTGTGGGAGCACTCTTGCCATTAGAATAAAAGCATTTTATTTGGGTTATTTGGGTTTAAACACAGATCGATAGGAAAAATCTTTAAACTGAAATAAGCATTTCTACAGGTATTCAAACTGATTTAGAGAAATCAATTTGCAATAACAGGTTAAATTTAAGCTGGTGCAACTTCCTCATGTAGATAATCTCTTACAGATACATGCCAAATTGATGAATACATATGAAGTTGAAATATATCTATAGGTAAACGTCAGATAAATATTCTTGCTGTTGCTGATCCAATTAAGATGAAGGTTTTAATATGGGGATTTTAAAATTTGGAGTATTTTATGGAGCTCAGAAGAAGAAGCAACTGGGTGAAGAGTTAAACTGGCCAAGTTCAGGACATTGTACTTCCTGGTAGAAGAGCTGAGCTGGCTATGAGCAACTGAATTTGACACCTTCTTAATCACAGCAGCTAAATCAATTCAGTGGATCATACCCTCGGGAATGTCCACAGCACAGGATAAACTGCACACCCAACATCACTGATCTGAAAGTTTTGGCAGAAACGCTTAGGCAAGCCTTTCTGTGCCTGTTGGCTGCTCTCCGCTGCCCAAGCACCACGATGACAGAGGTGTCCCTCTCCTGGCAGAGCAGCCTGAGGGGACCTGCATCTGCTCAGCCCCTGCTAGACTCTTTAGAACTTTAACTCCCCTCCACTGTGGGTGCAGTGGAAAAGTCAAGTTTTGTCATGGAGGACAGAGGCACAGGCATCTAGTTGCATCTACCAGCTTTGACAAGGAAGTAGTTGTCTCCAACAGCTGGGTGGACAAGGCCAGCAGGCACTGCAAAACTCACCAACAAGTGACTGGTTGCACTGGAGGACTTGGCAGGCAGCTGAGGAGGAACTGGGAAAAGTGATTTTTTTTTTCCTTGGTGATGTGTAGCTTTCGAAACACTTGAAGTGCTTGGGAAGAAGACTCCCATGATGTCAGCAAACCAACATTTTCTCTGAATCAGTTTCAGCAAATAGAGTAAAATGTTCATTGTTGTGCAGTTTTCAACATAGTGATAACAAAGGCAGTGTTCCTCTTTCTCCTGGTTGCCATTTTTCTGTATGACATTGTTCTTATGCCATATCGGGAAACATGGAATGCTTTGGCTTGGAGGAGTCTTCAAAGGTCATCTAGTTCAAACCCCCTGTCATAGAAAGAGACATCTTCCACTAGACTAAAGTGCTGAAAGCTTCATCCAACGTAGCCTTGAACGCTTCCAAGGATGGGGCATCCACAACTTCTCTGGGCAACCTGTTCCAGTATCTCACCATACTCACAGTAAAGAATTTCTTGCTAACATTGCTTCTAATGCAGCCCAGGATATGGTTGGTTTTCTGGGATGGAAGCTCACATTTCTGGGTCATGTCCAATTTTTCAGACAGATGAACTTTTTCCTGGTGGACTTAAAAGAAAAAAAATTAATCTGAGTGAATTTTTGCGCATGATAAAATTTATGGGGAAAATCAGTTTTTCATAACCAAAGTATTGACAATTTTTAGTCAAATACAGCAAATAGGTTTTGATGACATTTATAACTAAAAAGAAGAATCAAGACGTGAAACTCTTCCTTTCAAAACTGAGGCGTATTTGAGAAATGGACACATTAAGAAAAAAGTAAAACTTTTTTGTTTTCTTAGACTGGTCAGAGCAATTAAGAAGCTTGCCTTTATGAAGAAAAGGAGAATTTTATTTTTAAGGAGCTGCTAAAATGAAAAAAGCCAAAAAAAGAAACTAAACCTCAACACCCCGGTAACCACTTATATATTTTTTCTCCTTTTTCAAAAAAAAAAAATTTAAATTTTATTTTTTTCCTTTTTTTCCTGTCTATTTTTCTTTTTCATTTTTCCCCCTTGTTTTTAAATGTGCAGTGAACAGACTCCCCAGGCAGTATGAATTTAGACAATCTGAGAGGTGAAAATACCTGATCTGTAAAACATGTAGTTTGGTGGAATAGGTGCCGAGCCCAAAAAGCAAGACTTATTGCCCTTATAAACTAGCATCAGGTGCATTATAGTGAAATCATAACTGTGTTGAATTCTCCATTTCTTGGGAGCACATACTGAGAACAGAAAATATGCTTAGACACCGACCACCTTACATGAAATTGGAGAACAAAACCTAAAAGAAAACCAGAAAACAGGGCATGAGAGAGGATGTGACATCTGGCTTCTCTGCCAATGAACTCAAGGACTAACTCTCTTCTTTTACCTTTGGAGGAAGACGTACTTACAAATAACAATTCCACCACATTGACTTCCAACATGTGGAGGACCCAGTAAGAATCTGGCTGCCCAAGTCTCTAGGACACACTGATGTTTGTCTGGTGTAAACCAGTTTGTTTCCAATCTAGGCAAAAGTTTTCCTGAAACAAATGCCCACTGAGATAATGGAGGCTTGTGCCACTGGTGGCTCCTGCTTGAATTCAGAAAGAAGAAAAGTCTAATGTCAACAGCTCTTCTGGCTGATGGATAGTGGTGTGGGTTTTTTCTCTTTTCTACCTGTACTTAAGACATTTCTTGCCTTTCCAGTAAGCTACCCTTGTCTGAAACACACTTTTGTAGGGGCTCAGGTAATTCACCCAAAATCCCCAGGGCAGATATGCATGTCAGATAACAGTAGGAAACCAGTAAGGGTATTGGAATAAGCCTCTGAGACAGGAACCTGTGGAAGGGAGATAAAATGCCACTGCCATACACTTAGCTCACTGATGGGTTAATAACTTGGTGCTTAGAGGTTCTTCATTGAGAACAACGGGCAACAGCAGCTAATGGGGTCCGACACCAGCGCCCTTGGGATGAAGAGGAAGGTTAATTGAACTCTAGTGAAGCTCCCTTTGTGTTGAAGAGCAATTGAACAAACCAGGGCAGCCAACTTCCCAGCATCAGCCTATACATTGTGGCAAGTTCATCTGTGGTGTGACTAAACTGGCTTCAATACAAGGAATGAATTTAGCCTCCAAAACTTAGATTCGGGGAGACTGAGATAATCCTATTGGAAATTTTGACTGACTACTCACGCCAGTGTTTCGTTTCACTTTTGAAAATATTGCAGGAGAAGGAATGGGCATTCTTGGATGGGATGGTGCTTGTGGCTGCTCCAAATGTACTGTTACAACAGTGTGAACTCTTCTACTTCACTTATTCATGGACACCCTAATCTGCACAAAAACAAGAATTGTGGGCATGTTGTGAAAGAAGAGAACAAAACAGATTATTCACACAAAGTCATTCACTTGCTTTTAGCATCTAAATCTCCTTTGGCTTTTCAGAAGCTGTGATACTGGTCTTCAAATGCAGACAATACTGAACATAATATTATTTTGAAGATGTTTAAGCCTGATTGCTTCACATCAGTTAAAACAAAGATGGTATTTTCAGCTTGCCTGATAAAAGCAGACTATGTTTTCAATTCTTAATTCACTTGGATACCTTCCAGTAGCAAATGGTTTCAGGTTATTAGTTTCTTCATTACAAAAGTGATTGCCTGAAATCTGACCTGACTTTGGAATGATATTGAGATACATCTTTGCTGCATGTTCTCAGATTTCCCACAAGCTGTTTTTTATTTGAGCACTGACAATATGCACTCCACTTTTTTACCCACCCAAGCCGTGAAGACTTTTACAACTTGCTTCCTAAGGAACAGAGCTCTCTTAGTGGCTGAAAAGAAGTCTAAACACCTTCCTGTTTTCACTTGTATAGGATAACTTTGTTGGTAGTAATATTCCCCTGGCAATTTTTTGTTTACCTTTGCTTAGGATCTATTCTTGTTTGAACTTTTCTCTCAGGCTGTCTGCACTGATTCTGATTTCCTGATGCGCTGTTTCCACTTTGTGTCTCTCTATTGTTTGTGCAAGCTGTTTGAACTCCAGGCATTCTTCAACTCTCTTTTCTGCTTCTTCACCTTCATGTTCAAATGTGCATTGGTTGCTCTACTGCAGAGGAGGAGGTTATCATCTTCTTTAGTTATGTTGGGGGTATCATACTAAGGAAGTTTTTACCTTAACCTAATCACCTGGGTGCTCTAGTATATATTACTTTCATATCTTTATAACTCCATTCCATTTCCTATATCTGCAAAAGTAAAATGGGGGACACACACACACACACATCCAAACTCTATAGCAAACAAAGAAAAAGTGGGTTAAATAAAAATAAATAATGAACAGACTTATTTAGTCCCATCTTTTGACTGAGACTCTTTGTGGCATTACTATTGAGGTCAGTTACTGGAGTTAAAAAAAAAAGGCCCTCCAGTTACAAGGATTTGAAAGCAGCTCTAAATAATCTAAATAAACCACAAAGCTAGTTACTATGCAGCATTATCACAGACAAGCCAGGTATAGCGAATGCAGTTAGAATTAAAACTAGAGGGAGGAATATTGTTTAAAGCAACTCACTTTTATTGACAGTGTATTGAAAGGCAAGGAAAAAATGTTTGTCAGATTTTTTAAAAAGAAGGTTTGCAGCAAGAGTGATCTGCAGTTCAATATATTATTGAACTTTCAAAGATACTATCTTTTATAAATCCAATATTTATCTTTTTATCGTATATACAAAAGCTTAACTTAAGCACAAAACAGAACACAATGGATTTGCATATGAAGTTTTGTTGATGGTTCATAATCTAGTAAACAAGAGAATGCACACATTCTGTTACTATAGAGTTACATTTGACTCGATTTAAACTTAAATATACCCCAAACCACATAAAACACCCAGAAAATACAGACGTGTTCAGTATGACTACTTTAGAAAAAAATCTAAACAATGTTCAACCATACACTGGGAACAAAACATTGATAGATGCCAAGAAAACTGTATTTCATGGCCAAAACTAATTTTGCATTTTTGGTGAAGGCATCTGTGTGTTTTCACTGTTGTGTTGTGACTGTTCTACATTAATATCTTGGCAAGAAAAATTTTTCAAAACACTGGCTTTTGTCTGCTTTTGAAAGGATATGTTTTTGAACTGGTGATGTAAATAAACTGTGAGCCTCTTAGAAGATCTCACATCAGGCCATGTTAGAGCAAACTATCATTTCCATAGGAAACAAAGGTAACACAAAGGTCCCAGCTATGCTAAAAAACCCAGTTGGGGGACAAGGAACAAAATCTGCAAACTCTTAATTCTTCCCTGAGGGAAGGGCACATTTTTACCCCACATTTTCTGACAGCCTTAAATTCTGAAACTAACAAACGCTGTTGCATTTCGTGGCTTTTGTTCTCTACCTCCATATCTGTATAGCATTGGCTTTTCACTGGAAAAACTTTTATGAAAGCAATAGCTGCTTTTTCACCGGCGATAATGTAGCACTATTAGTGGTTCGTAAAATAAATGAAGGCTAACATCTCAAAATATGATGCATCGGGATAAAAGGGACAAAGGTACTTAACCTCAGTACATGTCATGCCTTAGCTTTGCAGGGCTGTAGCATGAGAAGTAACATGGGTAAGTAAAATTTACTTCTACCTATACAGGCAAAACTGAATGTATTTTTAAAGACATACAATACTATTCTGTAATTAGAATCCCCAACATGCTAATTTTTATCACAGACAAGAAGAAAATTATTTTACAACTACACAAGGAAACGGGACCCAATTGACAGGAGAATAATGACACTGCACTTATATGTAGCCAGTATATTCTGAAAATGAAGCATAAACCCATGTTTTTTAAGTGGAGGTCTTTTGCTGGATGCTTAAATGCACAGTTTTCATGTATTTTTTTCTTGGTTTTTTTCCCTGTTTTCTCTATGAAAATCAAGCTCTTTGCATAATTAACCAAACCTCAAAGATATTTACATTTTAAAAGCCAATCCTTCACCTTCTGATTTTAAAATGAGTTATGCTGTATCTTGCATATTTAAAAAAAAGGTCCAGAAAAAGCTTAGAATTGTAATTTAGAATCTCTACTTTGTAAAAATACTTCCCTTGAACATGAAGTCAGTGCTGACCTCTTCAGGTCATTTGTGAATAATAAAATCTTTCTAAAGCAACGTTACTAAATAAGAACTGAGTGAAAACACAAGATGAAATACATTACCCCTGCATTGTAAAGTGTTGCCACTTTAAAGTACAGTATAGGTTGAAGAAAAACACAGAGGTGTGTATATCAAAATATATTTTCACTATGATTCTACAGACCACATGAAATCTTTCAATATTCTGTCTGCTAAAGGCAATATAGTCTTTCTGGCTTTGTTAGTACTGCTATAGTATACAGGTTTCTTAAAGTACAGTTAGTGCCTATAGAGGTCAATTCTAACACCTAAATGTGTGCTATGCTTCATATGGCAGAAGGATAAGCATAGAAAAAATTTATGACATTGATTTTAAAGAAATTGTACATCACACAGTGTCTTTAATTCTAAATATAGAAAATTAGACTGTACTTGAAGTGGTTGTTGTTGTTGTAGTATGACTTAAATGTTTCTCAGATGTCAAGAAGGTCCTCTCCACTCTCATCACTCTCCACAGTTAATTGTCTTGTCCACCATTTCTTGACTTCTGATCCACAAGAAGCAGCATCAGACATGGGATTCATTTTGCATGCAACAGATTTCATAGTTGAACGTCCACCAAAACGGAGGTTGACTGAAGACACTGAATGGCTTAGTGGTTTGGGGGCTATGAAATCAAACAGAAAGTTCTGTATTAGAGTAGATCTGCTTCTTGAGCACTTTTGCTCAGAATTCACATATACAGAACTAGCTGGAGTGGGGGCACCTTTAAATTGACTTACTGCAAAAAGAGTAGGGGTCTTTTCTAATGTTGTTGTGGCTTTTTGTTGTTGTTGTTGTTTTTTGTTTCTTTCTTTTTTTCCCATCTCTCACTGTTCACACTGCTCCCACTAATCTGCTGGTAGAGCAGTTTAACGGACCAGTCCCTCATTTCCTTCTGCTGGAATAACTGATCCAAGGGATGTCTTCCTATTTAGCTAATTGCAGCCTAAATGTTTTAGGCAGTACTTACATGAGCTGACCTGCTGGCAAAATGGTCAAAGTGGTAAATGTGAGGAAAAGGGCAGGAAAAGTGCTTTTAGGGTTGGCAGCTGCACCTAGAAAATGATACTTTACTATGGCCTAGGGGTTGAAGCCAGGTGCTGGTATGGCACTAAAACGTCACTAATTATATAAACCCCACAGTTGATCTTAATTATGCTATTCATGATGCTAAATACATATCTTTGTTGGACTGGAGGCAGACTACTTATCTGTTGGGCTGTACTGTGCATGGAGACGACCCTCCTTTTTAGGACTATCCACTGAGGAATTTTCAAGATTGACATGGACCAGATCAGTGTTAAGAAAGGAAAACCTGAGCTCCTCATTCTCACTTGAAAAACTTGCCCAGTTGGCTACAGCAGTATGATTCCTCTTTAGCAAGCTTCCTCTTTCACTCTTTCTCTCTGTTCCAACAAAATGTTGATCTTTGATGCTCAGTGATATTTACTTGGAAAACATGGATTGAAAGCTCTCTATTAAACTATCCTGGTCACAAAAGTAGGGTCAATGGTAGTCAACAGAATAGCATGACTATCTCTTCTACTTCCACTTAGGTATGATTAGGGTCTGAACACTGGCAGCCTTTGAAGGCAGCGCTCTGACTCAGAACAGGACTGACTGACGACAGCTGAAAGCAGGTTGATGTGCTGCTGGTCATGGGTGTAGCAGGCTGTAGAGGTCAATATACACTTTAAGAGAGACTATTTAAGGTGGTGGGGATATGGTATCTTGAAATACGGACTTAATAAGGCATCAGACTGTAGCTATGCACCTCTCCCACCCTCCTATAAGCACCCTCCTCTATGGCATAGCCTAGCCTTTTTTCTCCTAGTGGACTGTAGTTACTAGAGTAACCTGTTTCTGAGAAAATAAATGGGGAACTGTTTGTACACATGGCCAATTCCTGTCTGAAGTGAAGATCTAAAAATGTGTTATTATGGTGTAAGTTATAAATCATACATCTGGTATGCTTAGACAAGACAAGGCAGACAGAAATTATTACTGTTGTTAGGAAAAAATTCATTTTCACCATGCTTCACATGATAAAAGAGAACTCGAAATGCACAAGATGCTATCCAAACATACAGGTCGGTACAGTCTCCAGTCCAAAGGTCCTGAGTAAATGAAAAAGTAAAAAATGCAACCACCTGCACAGGGCAGTGCTTGAGTCCATCTTCCAAACTTTCAGAATTGTGAAGAAGGGGAGAAACTGCTTTATTGTAACAGCCATGAGGGTAGGAAAGCCCTGATGTGGGTGCAAACAGCAGCCAGGGGGCAGAACTGTGAACCACAAAGCCTCTCATGGCCTTGTTATTGTACAGCAGCAATTTTGCATGTGGGGACTCTACTGATAAACCTTCTTCACTTACCTGATGGCAAGCGCCATTGTCCAAATTTACGCTGAGGTTTCCCAGCATCTCCAGAGTCTTGTCGATAGCCACCTCTGTCAGAAAGTGTGGGGCTAAGGAGCTGCTGCTGGCTACTCGTCTGAACAGAGATAAAAGAATCTCAGTCATAGTTCCCCACTGCATGGGTATAATCCTAAGGAGGGTAATCTTCCTGTCCTATTTCAAGCTTTTTCCATAAATAAAACAAAACATATTGCTATTTGTTAAGGCAGCATGGTTTCTATTCTTTAAAGCCCCAGAAAACTACTAACAGACAAATGTAAAATGGGCTCAATGCCACTGTACAGTCCCACTGAAGGGTATGAAATTATTCTCAGCCTTCTACATCCACTGTAGAAAGTAGCCCTTATGCCGGTACTTTTTAGGTTCCCTAGCCTGGAAGAGCCCAGGGCTCCTGCTCAGAGGACACAGCATGCCCAGTATTACCTCTCTAAGTGTGAACACTAGTTCAGGATGCCTGAACTGGAAAGCTTCACATCCCCGATCCTGTACAAAGCTCATGCTGGAGCTGAAAGCTGGTGCTGTCAGAGTTGTACAACTGCCCTTTACAGTGATAGCAAGACAGCTAACTATGTTGGGGAATTACTGCCTTAGACCATCTTGCCTTTAAATGTGACAACAAAGACCGAAGCAAAACAAGGTATTGCTTTCAACTCTTTCAGTTAAAATGATGTTTTAAAAAAGAAGAAATAAGAAACGGGGAAGTTTTCTGAATTTGTTATGAGTAGCTGATAGTTTTCAGTTTAACATACCTCTGGCTGTGCACTGTTATCTTGATTAATAGCATTCATATCTTCACTTGGCTGTGTTGTCTCAATGCTGGGAGGATTTAGAAATCGGCTCAACTCCTGCTGTTGACTCTCTCGCAGACTATGGATGATGCTGCACGACTGCTGTTGTTTCTATTAAGGCACAATATGTGATAAAAAAATGTTATCATTGGTATGTCACAGTGTTTGATTTTTTTTAAAGAATTCTAAATATTTAACTGAACAGCCAGATGTGGATCCCAGGTGCATCAATAAAGATCCATGTATCAGATGTTGCTATTTAAATAAAGTGACTTCCAGCATATTTCTAACCTTTATATAGGGAATAGAGGATTAAAATCAAGAATTATATTAAGTGGAAGGCATGTTGCTCAACTGTTGGTTTAAACCTACAGTTTAAACACACACAAAGTTTCGAATTGATGAGTTAAAGTTCTTGCAAAGAAAAGGAAACAAGGAAATTGTTAGAGATTCACAGGAAATCACATGAAGGCAATGAAAAAATTCTGATTTCTTTCACGGACTTTGGAACAGGCTGCCAATAAGACTGAATAAAACTGTAGTGAAAACCTTGGGACTAAGTATAGATTTATAGTACAAATAGAAAAACAAACCTACCACCATTATGATCTTACCATCTAATTTGCTTTTAAATTAAAATAAACAGCCTTTAGGAAGGTTTTCACTTTCCTGGGTAGTTTTCACATGCTCCCTCTAGAGACACTTGGAGAATAACAAGAGAATTTGAAAATAGATATTAACTTCCATAATTACATTCAGTTTATAAAAGGTTCATATAATGTGAAATGATCTGAACCATATTATTGGAGTGAAATGAATAGCATATTTACTTTAACATAGTGTAGTTCAGTATCATAATAAAATGAACAACAGAGTTGAACAAACCCAGAATTGAGAGCTGAGACTAAATTTACTGCCATTGTTATTCATATACAGAGAATGAGATAAACAATGAAACTATGTATCATTGAACACTGACATTTCAGCTGGAATGTACATTACATTCAAAATGTCCTGTTACGATTTTTTATACAGATTGCTATGGAAAACCTTCAATCACAAGAAGTAATTTTTTATAGAAACAAAAAATATATGTGTCAAAAGCTGGACTCAGACTTACAGGAACTGAAAAATCAGTCATCAATGCAACCAGGTTGTGACTTTTTATATAAAGGATGAGTTGGTTTTGGAAGGCAACATGAGAATAACTGCGAAACCTAAACAAAATTTCTTGATTTTTTAAAAATAAATTTAATCCAAGCCAAACTTCAACCAGCATATATTGTAGCTATCCTGAGCAAAGGTAAAAATGTTTCTGACAATCAGAAGCACTTCATAAACAGAACACAGAAGCACTGGCTAGGTCTATACTGGTAAGTTGAAGAGACTGGGATTTCCTGCAGTGCTGAAGCCAAGTGACAGACCAGGACTTGTGTGATCTGGCTAAGCTTCCCTCTGCCTCTAGCTTCAATCACTGCCTACTGGAAGTGGTCTCCACCCTGATATACCTGAAGGACAGTGATGCTCCTATAGCAGTGGTGTGGGAGACCATATGGCAGTGGTCTGGGGGTATATGAGTACACATAGGCCAAAACTGGCCAAAACTGTGCTGAAGAACATGCTAATGGGTGATCCTATCCCAGTCCTGAGCCAACACCTTGTCCCTGCTTAGTTTACTGGCTACACAGCTACGGTGTGCCATGGTTCATATACCTGCTTTGCATGTACACATACTGCTCATTTGCACACACAATAACTATAATGGCTCACTCAAATGATTTATCTTAATGCAGGCTCCATTTGAAGAGTCATTTTCAGGTGACAGATCTACCAGCAGAGGCAAGGAAATTATACAATTCCATTCTGTGAGGCAGGATTAGGCCTATGAAGTTTCATCAAATTATATTGTTTTTTTCTTTATTGCTTTGACTTTGGTCTCTGCACATGCATCTTCCTGCTTTATCGAAAATATAGATACATTTTTGTCAGGAAGACAGGTTTTGCCTTCAAAAGATGCTTATTTTTGTTGCACTTTCAATTGAGCTGTAACATACATTTCTTTGCTGAGTTACCAAATGCTATATACTTCTGCAAATAAGTATTATCATGACTCCAGAGCAAATGAAGCACAGTGGCAGCAAATTCCAGCATTGTTGAACAGTACAATTTATGCAACCATTTAGATCCTGGTTTTGCTTGACTTACTGCTCTGATTCGCTTCAAGCACTTCTTCAGCCACATGCGTATGGTCTGTTTGGCCACCTCCTCTTCTATCGTATATTCCAGTTGTTCCCTAGCAAGCAGCTCTTCCAGTTGAAGACTTTTTCTGATATCAACAGACCTATATGAAAGCATACTGGAAGAAACACAATTTATTTATTTTTAAATGCTGGTGTCATTACATTTTAATCTAGAAAATCAAACTTCATACTTGAGACCTTAGTGCAAAAATACATAACTAGGGTGTGTGCAATAAATTCACATTTGATGGTAAAAAATTGCTGAGATGATTCCAGAAGAGACTTGTGGTGCTCAAAACAAAGACCTTATCACCTACATCTAGCTATTGAAAACAGGTGAGCTGCTGAACTGTAAGCAATTAGGGCATTTGTGGTGGTGTTTCGGTTTTTTATTTTTTTTTTCCCCCTAAGTGTTTATGCTTGGATAATGTTCCCATTTCTATTTTATTTCCAGTCATGCTGCTACACTTGAAGGTGCAGCATTTCATTAGAAGGATACAAGAACAACATGTGACTGTTGTTTGTGACAAATTGCCTCCAATGAAAATCTTAAAAATACTTAGAGCTGATTGCCTAGGACCTGTGTTTTCCATCACTAATATTTTTGCAGAAAAAAAAGGGAAATCTAATTTTTGTACTGCATTTAAAATTGCAGTGCCTCTGTGGCTACCAGTCTTGACTTTTCCCAAGCCTAATGACTACCTGTTAGCCTGGAGAGAAACACAGGCCATTATATGCCTTCTAAAAATGTAGAGAAAATCTCAGGGTACCTGAGCACATCATGAAAAGTGACATCACCACCATTGTGGAGCCGCTCCATTTCATAGCACATGTGCTTGAACAGCAGCTTGTCCTTGTCGAGATCGACCTCCAGCCTGCCTCGCAGAAGCCTCAGCAGAAATTTCACTCGGAAGGTAGGGATTACCCCCTGTGTAAAATTGCATAATAGATGGTAAATTATTACTGCGACCTAACAACCAGCTCAGACATTCAACTTGATCAGTGAGAGAAACATGATTTCTCCAAAGACTCTGTGCCTAATCCTAGCCTCTTTAAGTCACTGTGAATACATTACTGAAAAATATGCACATGAAGCCAGCTCTTCAGCACATTCACAGAAGTCTTTGCTGTTATTTGACTCATATACAATCTATGTTGGTTATTTTGCCAGAAATTTTCAAAATTGCCTGGGGATTGAGTTTTCCCATTTGCATTCATCCGTAATGAGAATCATATGCCTGAAGAACTGACTTTGAAAAATGGAAATTAAACCACAATTTAAACACTCACAGCCAAGCCTATAACTCACTGTAAACCTGTTCCCTTCTCTGCATCTTTGGACAGGAGAATGCTGGGAGTTTTTATTTTATTCTTTTTTCAGGACTGAAGGTACTTCCCTTTGAAACTGCGATACTCATAATATTTAAATGTTTTTTTCTACTGAAAAAGCCTGACCGGAACTATTTTTGCTGTAATGTGTTGTTCCATATCAGAGAGATAGTGTCAGTGCTGGGCACGATGGATCCAGAACTCTCCACCTCTATCAGAACAGACTGCAGCTTCCATCTCCTGCACAGCTGTGTGCCAACTACAAGGAGACAACTTGTTTCACTGCAATGTTGTTCATATTCAAATCTTAATGATGTCATGAATCATTCAGATGATGACTTAATTTGTGTGAGCATCTGAACAGCTCAGTCTCCCAGATGTTATTCTTACTCCAGAATCACAGAATGGTTGAGGTTGGAAGGGACCTATGGAGCTCACCTTGTCTGATTCCCTCTGTTTAAGCAGCGCTTCCTAAAGCCAGTTTCCCAGGACCACGTCTAGATGTCTTCTGATTATCTCCAAGGACAAAGACTCCACAATCCCCCCCGGGAAACCTGTGCCAGTGCTCAGTCACCCTTACAGTGAAAAAGTATTTCCTGATGTTCAGAAGAAACCTCTCATATTTCAGGTTGTGCCCACTGCCTCCAGTCCTGTCACTGGGGAGCACGGGGCAAAGCCTGACTCTGTTCTCTTTGCACCCTCCCTTCAGGTACTTGACAAGCTGCCCCTGAGCCTTCTCCAGTCTGAACAGTCCCAGCTCTCTCAGTCTTTCCTCACAGGAGACATGCTCCAGTCGCTTCATCATCTTTGTATGTCTGCGTCTCTGTGTACAGAGGAGCTCAGAATTGAACCCAGGACTCCAGGTGTGGCCTCACTTGGGCCGAGTAGAGGGGAAGGACCCTCTGCCTTGGCCTAGTGGCAATACTTTGTCTAACGCAGCCCAGGATACCACTAGTCCTCTTTGCTGCAAGGGCAATGGCGGCTCATGTTCAACTTGGTGTCCACCAGGACTCCCAGGTCCTTTATTGACAAGCTGCTTTCCAGTTGGGTGGCCTCCAGCATGTACTTTGCCCTGGTTTATTCTTCTTCAGGTGCAAGACTGCATTTTTCCTTGTTGAACTTCATGAGGCTCCTGCGAGCCCATTTCTCCAGCCTGTTGAGGTCCCTCTGGAAGGCAGCACAATCCTCTGGTTTATCAGCCACTCCTTCCAGTTTGTTGTCATCAGCAAACATGCTGGGGGTGCCCTCTGCTCCATGGTCCAGCTCATTAATGAAGATGTTGAATAGGATTGGACTCAGTACCGACCCCTTGTTGTGGTTTGAAGCTGGCTCCCTGCCAAGTCTCCAAACCTCACCACCAGAACTCCCCCCACCCTGAACCAAGGGGAGAGAAAAAAAAACCAAGAGAACCAAAACGAGAGAGAGAAAGCTAAAGCAATATATATATATATTTACAGTTATATTACAGTTATATACAATTGAAATATATGTACAATTTCAAAGGGAAAAGGGAAAGGGGAGGGGGAAGGAAAAAAGGAACAAAACCAAAATAAAATATACACGATCAATAGCCCAAGATCTAGCAACTAAAAGAATTAGCAAAAGAATATCTGACTACTCTCCTTGGGACAATGGAAAGTTGTGCTGGAGCGACTGCCGGCAACCTCTGTCTCCCAAGGTCAGCAAGGCCTTACCAGGCCTCACTCCCCAACCCAGCAGACTCAACAGCAGGGAAACCCGCACCTCCAAAGCTGCCGGAAGGAAAAAGAGTGAAGGCCTTTCCTCCTTTCTTCTTATACCCCGGCTTACGTAAAAATCGTAGGGAATACCGGGTAAATCTGGGCACTTCCTTGGTTACAAACTGGTCACCAAGGAAGGCCTAGACTAAACTACCACACCCCTGGGGTATACAACTAGTTACTGGCCTCCAACTAGAATCTGTGCTGCTGATCATCACCCTCTGGGCCTGGCTATGCAGACAGCTTTCAGTCCACTTCATTGTCTTCTCACTCAGCCCATACTTCATCAGCCTCTCCATAAGAATCATACAAGAGACAGTGCTGAAATCTCAGAAAGCTCTCCCAAAAATCAGACACATAAATGGATATGAGTTTGTAGACTTTCAAGGGACAACTCTCTGGAAGCTGTGTGGAAAGATGCTATTATATTAATCCTTTAAATAGGTACGTTTGTTTGTAAATCTGCTACTATAAGTACTACATAGAATACATGTTAGTATTCGAAGGGCCATGAACAACTTCAGATCATGCTCACTGAACTTCTAAAATCTAACCTCTCAGTGAGTTTTGCCAACATACTTTGTTTTCCCCATACTTTCTTACAAGGAAAGCTGGAAATTTACTGGATTTCTGTGATTATTATCAAATGTCTTACCTCTCTTTTGTCATCAACCATGTTCCATATAATTTGAAAATGCCTAAGATCATTATAACTTAGAAGCTGGTCTTCTTCGGTTGAGTAAAACAACGAGAAATTCTCCACAATGATAGCTGAAACCCACAAGAACAAAATACACCACAAAGAAAGCCTGTAGTTACATTCTAACTGGTTAACATCCAATTCTGTTTTGCCAACTTCATATTAATAAATGCCTGTATGTTCAGACAAGGATTTTGAATACACGATATACCATTATGCCACATCAATATTCACCATGCTCACTTTTTAAAAGCTTTATTTTAAATGCTGGTGAGATCCTAACCTAGCATGTTCTAATATCAATTAAGTGAATTCCAATGATGTTCAAAAAATATTAACTGAAGAAAGAAAAGCTCAGAAAACAGTATTTCATAGGGAAACTGTACTCTACAAATACAACATAAGTCTTTGTTCAAAAAACTTTCATTTCCAAACTTCCTGAGTTTTAGCATACACCATGCCAAAGAAGTATCAAAAACATTATACTCATACAAGATAACATTGAAAGTACTAGGTAGTCTCACACCTGAATAGCACAAAAGACTCACATCTAGTCCACTATATGCCAAGATGGACCTTATCTTTTTGTTATTAATGTGTATTTTCACTTACCAACAAGCAAATTTAGCATGATGTATGCAATGATGACATAGAAAGAACAGAAATACATAAGAGCACCAGCATAATTTCCACAGTCTGTTTTCCAGTAAGTGCTGTTATCTGGTGTGCAAAATGGAGGCTGAACCTTCAAAATAAAAGAAAATAAAGTAAAATATTAATAAAAAGAGATTCTTAATTTCTCTGCAATCAATACAATAATTAAGACTATTATTTCTTTAAAGCTTCCCAAATAGGGAATAATACTGTGGGCATTATTGTGGGAAGGTTTTTTTTCTTCCTTTAGTAGTCAAAAAACAGAAAACAGAGAGAGGTATGACAAAAAAGGCTTAGGCATGGATCTCAGTCCACACGCAGGGCACATTGTGCATTATGCCACTGGTGCTCTGAAACATGGTGCTTTTCAGAAATCTTCCTTCCTGCTCATTAATTTTAAAAAGGAAAGGCATATGATTTTCTTTGCAATGGAAAGCACAGACAAACATTTACTTATAATGATTCAAGGATTAATTCTGAGGTCATTAAGACTATCATTATCATGGACTGAACCTAAGTGCAGGCATTAAAGAAAAAGTTAATCTGAAAAGACACCTTGCCCCAGTCAAAGAAGAAATAAGAGTGAAAAAGTAAGTTATTGCACTTCTGATTTTGAAACAATTGTTTCATTTTTGTTTTTAAACCAACTTATAGCCTAGCTCCATGAAATACTACACTGTGAGTATGGGATTGGAGCTGCAATGTGTGTGTCATGTTCCGAGGTTTAGTGAACATTATATCTCTTGAAGAGATAAGGGCAAGCACAATATTCCTTCTACAAAGCTAAGATAGTGATAGTAGCTTGAGATGGAAGGGTGTATCTAATTTCTTGTCTACTTTATCTCTGGCAGCATTGTAATTACCATGCAATCATGCATAATTTTGTTCCAGTCTTCTCCAGTAACTATTCTGAAGAGTACGGTAATAGCCTTGCCAGCTGATGAAAAATTTGCATGCCTGTTTTAAAGAAAAAAAGAGAGAGAGATTGTTTCACTTCCCAGAAATAAAACATTGGCAAGAAAAAACGTTTCCAGTTTCTACTGTTCTACTATTTTAAACTAAAAATAGATACAGTATCATTTGAATGAGCTCATTGAATTATTTATTTCATGACTTAAGATATAATAACTGAACTCTAGCTCAGACATAGGCCTCAGTATTTTAGTGCATTTTATTAGAGATAAAGCAAACTCAAGGCCAGATCCTATTTCCTGTCTCCATTTTCTTCTGTAAGCTTGATGACGACTGGGAAATCTCCAGTTAACAGCCAGTTCAAAGAACTGTCTCCTCTCTGTATCAGCCTGGTATATGGATCCTGTTCTTGGGTGATGCCAATAAGATGTAGTAGGTACACCGTGTTTCAGCAGCTTGCGGGCTAGTGTGGTGCTGCTTTGAAGCATATTCCAGCTGGCATAATGAAGAACAGCTCTCAGTCTGCTCTGGGTTGGATCAGGTGTCATTTGGGCCAATGCACAAGGACTGGAAAGATGGCTCAGTATCAGAATAGGATGTCTCCTATCAGAAATTCTGTTTAGAACTCTTCAGCTAGACCTGGAGATTTGTCTGTTTTTTACCATGGATAAACTTCTCTCTAGCAGAATGTGATTTCTTCAGGCTGCTTAAAGAACATCCCCACAAGGTAGGAAGTACACACTGTACCTGTTAATGTTCTCTCCATATTTCACTGTACCAAATAAAACCACTCCAGCAAAAGCATAACAAAGAAGCAGTAAGAACATTCCCACTATGATGAAGAAACTCTTGTACATGCTGACAACCACAGTAAGGAGCAACATTTTTAGTGTCACCTGGAAGGACAGAGAAAAAGCAATCTATGATGCCATTCAGGAAAGCAAAGAAAAAACAAAAGACAGTTCTTGCACTTGCCATCTGACAATTAATTCTTTACACACATACATTAATGGATGAGCCCAGTAAAAAGGTTATAAATCTGATTTGAAGTGTGTGTGATTTTTACTTGTTATAGACATCAGCATATCTTCATCATTTACAAGGTCAAGATGTTGCTCCTAAAAAAGTATATATAAGATAATACAGCTTAGGATAATACAGTGAAAATACAGTATAAGCTTAACTATAATATTCTAGAATCAGTATACTCCTGAAGTATCAGAATTAGCATTGCATGAACAGTGGTGCAATAAACTACTCTGAGCTTATCTGAAAGTGATTCTAACTGTTAGAAACCACAGATACTGCAGCCTACTTAAAGGACTGGGTTGATGTATAGAGAAGGGGATTTCCTTAAGATCAATGCAGCTTAATTAAACTATTAATTTCTCATGCAAGTTTGTGAAAGATCAGGGAGACTTTCTAGCATCCTTCCAGTACCTAAAGGAGGCCAACAAAAGAGCTGGAGAGGGACTTTTTACAAGGGCATGTAGAGATAGGACAAGGGCAAATGGCTTTAAACTGAAAGAGGAAAGGTTTAGATTAGATGTTAGGAAAAAATTATTTACTGTGAGAGCGGTGAGGCACTGGAACAAGCTGCCCTAAAAATTTGTGGATGTCTCATCCCTGGAAGTGTTCAAGGCCAGGTTGGATGGGGCTTTGAGTAATCTGGTCTAGTGGAAGGTGTCCCTGCCCATGGCAGGGGGCTTGGAACTAGCTGATATTTAAGGTCCCTTCCAACCCAAAACATTCTGCGAGTCTATGATTCTGCAAAGTTGGCCAAAGAGTTTAAGATGACAGCATAATCTTGGAAATTACATAGGCCATAGGCCTAGATTATAGCTATTACTTTCTCATGCATGTATATCGTACATTTTACTCTTGATAAAGTTATTGCCCTAGATTGCCCCAACACCCTTAACTGCTTCGGATGAGATGGAAAATTCCCTTTAATGGGACTGAGGGAGTCAGTTTTCTTTATAATCAAGCCAAATTCATGCTGACCTTTAGTCATCACATTGAAATTGATACAGCTCCTAACATGAAAGAACAAATGACTAGGTTAAACCTTGAAAAAAACTTTAGAATCAATCTGAAACCTTTGAAGGCAATTACTTGGTCTGGATGCATAGGAGAAGCAAGGATTTTTTCATTTGACTTCCAAGGCTCTTCAGTCTCTGTGTAGTTTGATTGAAAGAAAACTTTTTCCCTCTGCTGAACAAATCCTTTGACTTACTGTTCTTAACCCCAGCAACCTAGTACAGCAGTCTTTTCATCACATTTACTTTAATATGCCAGACTTCATAGAAGATATTTGGATAGTGTAAGAAGTCCACAGCAAGGGAATGCAGTGTCACCACTTGTTAAATAAATGTGTTTATTCTCTGCCTATGCTTATTCTGCCTGTCTACTCTCAATTATACCAGAGAAAATCCAAACACAAAAGAAATGTAAACTTGAGAAGTGACTTGCTTTGTCACCATGCAAGTGTTTCCAGAAGAACATCTTGGCCCAATATTGTTTTAAAATTGAATGTAAGTCCTTTACCATGATAAGACATACACTGTAGAGACAAAAGACACAGACCTGCACTCTGGAGCAAGAAATTTCTGTGAAAGAGCACTATCATAATAAGATGAATGCATCAACCACTACTACTGTAGTCTTGCAGCAAAAATAAATAAATAGCATGCACATCACACTGCACTGAAATGGCAAGGGCTGAAAGTAGTGCAGTGTATGTTCAGACTTGCAGAAAGCATTTTTAAAACTGTGGTATTGCAGTGGCACTTTGTTTTCTGAAAAAAACGCAACTTTTCCAGTAAGCATAATAGAGCACTATTATACAATATACCTAAAATCCTGACATTTTAAAGACAGTATGTAAAGTTGGAGACTGCTGCTTGAAGTCTCCTTTTTTTTTTCTTTGCCTACAAAATGGAGCCTTATAGATTTTGCTTTAGAGATGCATAGCATCTAGTCCTATACCTGAGCACTTCAATAGTTGTAGTTCCCAATTAATACTTACGTGCTTTCCACAAATTGAGAAAAACCTGAAGACAATTACACATGCCCCCATCATGTATGTGTACGCATTCTAGAACACAAACACAGAAGACTTAATACATTGTCCCCCAAGGATCTTTTGGAAAGATCATGTTAGTTGATCTTTAAATAATATAGGGCAATTCCCATACAAAATAAGAGAAATCACAAACTAGTAGCAACAATATTAAATACCCCAAATCCAACCTCTCCACACATCAAACCAAAAAACCTTCAGTCCTCTATTAATTATGTCCATCAGGCCCAGTCTACCTGTCTAGGCAGCCGCTGGATTACAGAAACTCCTCAGGCCTTCCAAGCAACTTAGCAGCAGGGGGCAAACTGTGAATATCAGGGCAAAATGTCTAGTCACACAAGACAGGTTTTCTTTCAAACAGAGCTTGGGGCAGACAAGAGAGAATCCCACAGCCATTACTGGGTTGTGACTTTGACAACTTGTGATCAATGACAAGTATCAACCATCCCTTCTCCTTCCCTTGTAAATAAAAGAACCAGGAGTGTATTTAAATTTAAAAAACTGGTGTGGGATGGAGGGAGAGCTGATTTCCTCCCCTTTCCTCCATATCTTCTTGGATTAATCATCCCCCCTTAACCAAAACCAGTGGTACAGAATCGCTGGTGGTTTTGGGACAGTCTGTATTGTTCAACAATTTTGAACCAATGCTTTCTTCCAGTCCTTTGCTCCCATTTGCATTCTGTGCATTGCCTCTTTCTTCCTTCTTTGCTCATTAGACTGTTGTTGGCAAGAGCTCTCAGTCTCTTCAGTTTCCTCCTTTTCTCAGTCACATTACTCCTAAAGACTTGTTTTCTACCACATTTACAGACTCAACTCATATCAGTAAGACAACCTTTGCACTACATCGTTGCCCAAGACAACGATTCCTTCTTAGCATCAAGCTTAATGTTCTTCAGCCATATTTCAGCCTTCTTAAACTCCTGACGGTTTATCTCAATGTATAGCAGCAATCCTACTGCTGGTGCTTAACAGATGAAATCACTTTAATCACTGCAATTTCATTCTGTAAATCTCACCAGTAAGGCAAAGTGAAGTATCACCCATATAACTCCAAGAGATGTCACCAAGAGATCATATCGATTTCTTCTGCTTTGCCAGAAGCCAGAAGGTGACATTGCAATAATCTTCATCGTGACCTAAGGATAAAAAAAATTAAAACTTGTAATGAAGAAATGGTTATTTCTTGCTGTAAGATTCCTCTTCCATTCTCTAAAATGTTTGATTGAGTTCATCAAACAACCAAGGGCAGGTTTCACATCAGCTAAATGTTCCTATGTGGACTAACCAAATAATCTAAGGTTGCCTTAGGTGAAGGAAAACTGATGGAAGACCACAGATGACCAAGACCAGTGGATGAGCAGTATCTCTCTGTCTCCATCAAGTATTGAAGACAGGAGTGCAGCTGACCACCTCAGACTGAATGCTTAATGTATAGATTGCTAAGGTGAATACAAATATTTCTTGCTTTAAGGAATATTCTGTACTCAGCAATGTACTCAGAAGCATGTAAGAGAAGAAAGCTAAGAACAGCAAAGGCAATACATTTTACGATGTACCTGGTAAAAGACAGCTGCCAAAGTGCTTGACATTTCCAATATAGGTAATAGGAATGCTGACAGGAAGCTCAAGAATAGATACTAATAAGAAGTAGATACAACAGCTAACAGATACTGATGTAAGGTGATGTATGTAGAGGGAACACCAGAGAGCTTTTCATACACAATTCGTATAAAACCTCAAATCAAGTTAAGAGCTACTACACAAAGACCATAAATGTCAGGCATTCATTACATTATTTTTTCCATTCCACCTTGCAACCCTGCCATTTAATATTTTTGAAACCTAAACGATATGTAATGTTGAGGTAAAAGGCTGACTTTCTGGGTAGGTTTTTGCCTTATAAAGTTTTCTGAAGCCTGACTACAGAATGAACAATATGGTCTCTGAATTTCTAATTGTAATTTGAGGTATCTGAAAATATCTTGCCTCCTTCTACCCAGTTAGCTGAGGTGCCCTAGAGAATTGCAGATAGCTGCATGGGGCTGGAAGGGATGACAGAAGACCTGTAAACATCCCTACCTTTCTGCAGTAGCTAGTGGAGGTAACTGAATCTCACCCTTCATCTTCCTTGATCACAGTTACAGCTTAAACACCTATCTCGAATATAGAATTTAAGCACCTAAACTCAGGTACCTACAATCTTGAACTGAATACCACACCATGCAAATAAAAAACCCCACATCTCCCTTTATTCTGTCATCATCAGTGTGGTAACAAAAGTGAGATCTTCAAATTCTTCCTATTCTTCTATACCACATATACTGATGTGAGCAGTAGAGGTTTAAGATTGAATCAGGAGTCGTCAGATTGGACATAGAGCTGTTAGCTATGCAGAAAGCTTTGGACTTCCTCATGGATCATGCCTGCTAGTGGTAGCAGACCATGTACGTAGCAGATTCTGTAACAAGACTATGATGCCTTAGGGAAGATCCTGGGCAGGAAGCTGCTTTGTCTCCATAAATTGTGTGCACTCACAGTGTGATAGCTTGCCTGTTGAGACAACCAAGAGATTTTTATTGGCTCTGACAAAGTTCTTTCGAAATTCTCCAAGTGTGTTTGTTTCCCCTGACAGTATAAGAGAAAAAAGTATTTCCAAAGACACAGTTACTAGGTAAATTAAAACCAGTCTGCATATGACACAAAACTTTTCTGTGTTGCTCAGTCTCTCTAGAGATACTGATTTCTCCTGGGTAGGGAAAAAAAAATCAACAACATGGCCATACTCTAGCTACAGCTAGTGCATACAAGCTATTCACTTCATTGTTTATTCATCACTGCTGGCAAAACCTATCAGTGGAACATAGGAACTGTCATATTGGATTAGAGCAATGGGAAACATGGTCTACTATCCTGTTTCTGATAGTGGTCCGTATCAGCTATTCAGAATGGACTGACAAGAAAAGTAGTCAACCACAAAATTATAAAGAATTGTGTACTAACCTAACCACAGAGGAAGCATCTTCTTTAACATCATAAATGTGTGCTTTGTTACACTATGGATATCCTTATACATTAAAAAATATATGCATTTCAGAATGTGGCTAAATCATTAGATTCCAATCTTATGCAAATAGGCTACAGACACCTTGCACAGTTGTTTGTAATAACAATATTCTCATAGAAAGAGAACTGCTACCACACAGGAGCCAGATCTGTGCCACAAAAGACAGACAATATGGACATAGCTTACTAAAGTATTAAAATGAAGTATGATGCTTAAACCAAACCAAACCAAAACTGAGAGAGGTTTGATGATGTTACAGATACAGAATAGTGCGGATTAATGCACCAGGCAAAATAGAACTGGATCAAACAAAACTTCCAGGAGACAACACAGACCCTGTGTTACATGGAGGGAATTTAATCTGAGATGTTCTGCAAGAAAAGAGTTCACTGGGTTCACCAAAACACGCTTTTAAAGGCTCAGACTTGAATATATGTAAAAGGACACAAAGTGCAAGGTTGTAGAGAAGTATGACTATAATACATTAAAAGTTTCTTCTTACAATACATGTTTAAAGACAAGTGACATGGAGAACCCTGAATGTACATGTTCAGAAATAAATACCATAGTGAAGAATGAGACAGCTTTCCTAAAGACAAAATGAAATATGTACATACGAGGCTTAATCTCAAGAAGTCTCAAAATATATTACTTTACCTCAAGGACAAAAATGAAGGTGAAAACAACGGACATTGTTGCTAAGGGTACAGTCACTGGATCTGCAGCATCCCACTGAAATGCAAACAAAATCCATTCATAGAAGAGTAGCTGTTAAACAAAACAAATGCCTCTTCATTGCCTTAACTTTTCTTGAAGGTTTTGTTAATGAATAGATTTCACTTTAAAATATGCTCAGACAGGAATGGCATCTTGGTATACTCTTCTCTTGTAGATTTACAGTCTAACTAGACATTAAAAATAGTGGATCAGACCACAAAAAGGCATAAATTGACTCAGCTCTAAAAGTTACAATTAATCTATAGTGATCTGCCCCAATTGAGACTATTGTATCCAGAAATCATGTTTCCTTACATTCATCACAGTAATGGCTCAATTGATGGTTAACTTTTGTTAGGAAATGTGCAACACATGCTGGACTACTATAAAGAAACACTTAAAAAAATCACAATTACCTTAACTGATAACAACACGGACTGTGCCAGAACAAGTACAGCAATAGTTCTCTTGAAGAATGGATGCTGAGTTATGTCATACATCTTAGCTCTAAAGCCATCATTATCTGAAAAAAAAAGAGTTTGAGGAGGAGAGTTAAAATACACAGTGGCATTTTTCCCCTACTTCTGAACATCAAAATATATTTCTAATTTTCTGCTACAATTTCCCATATCAAATAGGGCTTCTGAACATCTAATTTCAAATACTGAACACCAGTGTTGCATGAAGGTTTTGGTACTTTTAGTGTAAGTACATCATTCAACTGCTGTCAGGTTAATACATTCCATTCATATCACTACAGCCAACTGCAAACATTTTTCATTTAGAAATTCATTTTATCATTAAGGCTTATCCTAAAGCCATCGAAGCACAACCTTTTTTGGGTTGTTTTTAATAGCCTTATGGAGAGATCTGTGGTTGGAGCCTGTTTCGACATTAACTTATGCACAACCTCCTAGTGGCCTCACGATTACAGTTTTAATTTGAATTGCAGACTCCTGGGGAATTACGAACACTAGGGCTTAACATGTATAAAATCAAAATATCTTTGATACCCGGACGAGGTGGGAGATGAAGAGGTTGTGCTATCTTCAGTCTGCTTTTCAGATCTTCCCATCGTCTCTGATCTACGGTCAGTAAAGCTGTCCCCTTAATAAACAAAGAGAAGCGTATAAAGCTTTTGTCATTTAATAGCTAGAACATTCAACACTGTAACATGAAAACAACATTCTCTTTGGTGCCCGAAATAAAGTTACATATGCAACTTTCCTTAAATAACACACTGTTTGGGTTAAGGAGTCTGAAGTATCAGCTGTTACTCAAGAGGATTTCTGGATGCATTAGCTGTGTGTTTCCGGAACTCAACTCAGCAGGCACAGTTGTTCATTGTAGCAGCAGCCCAGTGTGGGCAATGAAACACTGTAGGAGGTCTTCTATTTGACTGAACATCATTTGCCAGGAAGCACTATTTTAAAGACTGGTCGATTTTGTCTGGACTTTGCAGCAGAAAATCCTGTGGCTTGTCAGTGCCACTACAGTTTCTCAGGGAACAGGTCCTCCAGGAGACCACTGCTGCTCTCCACAGCTCTTCCTCTTGGTGTGTAATTGAAATAAAATAATAGTATGCTATGAATCTACAAGAGCTCCCCACTGAGGAAGCACAAAGAGAGGTGGAGACACACTCTTAGGGTGGGGTGGTGGTAGCTGGTAATGTGTGTAAATGTTCTCATAACATAGGAAGAAACAAGCAAACTCCAAATGGAATTCAATGTTATCTAAAATGACCTTCAACGCAAAGTGAGTTCCTTGTAACTTCAACTGTAAAATCTCATGGAAGGATTCTAGAGTTACAAAAACAAGGGAGACCTTTTCAAGGTAAACATCAACAGGCTGCTCTCCCTGTTAGAAACGAGCTGCACTGAGCTGGGTGAGGGCTGGGGTGATCTTTGGGGCTCACCCGGGAATTGGCTTGTTTAAATGCTTGAACTGAGGCTGGCTGCGCAACTGATAAGGTCAGGATTCCTCCCTCTTGGTGGACATAATCTCTTTACGGAATTGTGTCCCCAGACAGCACCCTGGGAAGAGGTGCCTTCCAACACAATCCAGGAAAAGTGATAGATGTAAGGATGCTGACTACTTGTGTCAAGGCCAAATCGTACCGTTTAGAAATGCTTAAATTAAAAGGAACTCATTAACCCCAATGAGCATGTCTGGTTTATATTCTTGGAGAGCCTTCACTGCAAACAAGACAAAAGGTGGCAAAAAAGAGTGGACTCCTGTAAAATCTAGAAATAATGGTGCCAAGTTGCTTTGCTGCTCAGAAACTGCCGGTTCCACAAGTGGGATCATTATAAGGGGACCACAGAGCAGAGCCCTGCAAGTAGGACTACTGCTGGAGGAGCTCTGTTTGCATTTGGACCTTATCACAAAGTGGCAGCTAATATTTGAGTATTGACATATTTGAAGGAAAAGTAATACTGCACAGCTGAACAAGAAGAGGCAGAAGCATCTATAAAAATCCAATGGAATTCTCATACTATAGAAATTTCAGCTTTTTAAACTCACCTGTCAAAATTTAGTGAATAGGAAAATAAATGAATAACACATTGCTCCTTGTTCTCTAGAACAGATACATTTTAACAGGAATGACCACACTTTATCTCACCAAAATTACACTGGAGTTATGCAAATATAAAAATACCTTCAGAATAGCAGAGCTTTTAGGCCATTTATTTGGCTCACAAAGTGCTTGACTCAATTGCATGATGCCTTGCTTGCCCATGCTACATGCACAGTAGTGTGCTGCTCAGTTCGCTTCTAGAAGGAGTCAAAGGGTCTTCCCGAAGGACAAACTCCACAGTTGCATTTGCTACAGAGTTTGGATTAGGGCCATAGCCAGCAACCAGTCTCTCCAGCATTAGCACACTGGGTTGTCACACATCTCCATACCCCAGAGTGTGCAATAATCCTTTCTCTCCAGTGCCATGAGTGATAAAAATACCATGTCTCATTATTTTTGTCGCTTTGAACCAAAAGATGAAAAAAATTATTAATTATGTCTCGATGCTTCAGGGGCACCACAAGAGGCTCAGAAAACCCCCTCAGATTAAGCGTTGTGCACGCAGCAAATCCAGCCAGAGTATTCTACCTTTAACAAGCATAGACATAAGCTGCTCTGCAACAATTCCCCCGGGGACAGGTTTTTCTATTTCTCAGGGTAATCCAAAAAGCCCACGTGAACTTCTCTAGAAAACTAGCTACCTTTTTGTTTAAGTGATGGACAATTATTTTTACAATGTACTCTGCTGTTTGCCAGGAAAAAGTCACACAGCTTTACTCTGGATATGAAATACTGCAATGAGAGGGCTCTAATGAGACCTCTTAGCTGCAACACATACAAGTATAACACATCTTTTTATCTGCCACTGCATGTATGCCTACATCAAACTAAACCAGCAGCATCTGTAAATACATTGTGCTTTAGGTTCAGTCTCCATCTAGCAGCATGGCTGCACTATAAATAAACTCAGACAGCTTTGACAGAGTACGTGATGGATTGCTATCATCACAGGTTTCAGTTTTGTAGCAAATATGGATCAGGTGTATCTGAAGACTTGCTGTGTTGCAGAATGCAAGATTGGCGAGCCAGTCTTAAAGGCAGCCTTACCAGGTAATGTAGACAGTGTAGTATCGGTTTCAGGTTTCTTACAGAGTCAGTTCTACTCAATAAAATGCCTCACTCAGAATAAGCCACCTCATTCAGTACCTTGTTTTCATTAAAATTAGCGATGACAACTCCAACAAAAAGGGTCAGTCCAATCATGCAGCCAAGAAATACAAAAACATGAATGTAGATTCCATGGATCTGAATAGACAAAAGTAAGATTTATAGTTAAGACAAATCAAAGTTAGGTGTTGTAGAATTCAAAGGCTTTGATGTGTTTCCTTACCGGCCCAACTCGATGAATGATAACATCTCTGACTTCCACCCAGCCTTTTAATGAAAGAACTTCGAATAGTGCCAGCATTGCATTGCCCACATTGTCAAAATTAAAATTCCGAGGATTTGCCCTGAAATACAGTACACAAAGAGGCGTAACTTCAGCAATAAAGTTGTTCTATTTGATACCTTGATTCTTCATAGCCTAACATTTAAATACACTGCAAAGCTGGTGTGAAAGCTTCTGGAACACATCAAAGTTCTGTATCAAGAATAAGAAAACAGTAGCACAAGCAATAAATATTTAAAGCATAATATTTTAGATCCCTATGTATGGTTTATTTTCTTACTCAGAATGTGATTCACAGTAATAAAGTTTAAAATATGTTCAAGGTTCAGGTTGAATGGGGCTTTAAGCAACCTGGTGTAGTGAAAGGTATTCCTGTCCATGGCAAGGGGGTTGGAACTAGAGGATCTTTAAGGTCCCTTCCAATCCAAACCATTCTATGACAGTATGTTGCTGCATTTTAGTGGTTTTGCCATTGAAATTAGAAAAATACAGCATTCATGAAAAAATAGATCTGATGGCATTGGCCAGATTCTAAATTAAATTTACCTGTAGGAGATCATTCTCTAACACACATAGAAAATTTGGACTCCAAAGTCAGCAAGATTGTTTAGAAAACGTAGTTCGCTGTTACATTATCATCAGGAACTGCCAGTCTAAAGCAAAACTTACTGAGATGACATCATGTCTTCTTGGCTTACATATACCATATGCTCTGATCTTTTTTATCAGTTGAGATTCAAAAGAGTGTTTGCAGCTGAATGTTAAAAGTACCCTCTTTGGGCTAGGTTAGCACGGTGCTCTGTCTGTACAATCCAAAACAGATAACCCAAAGAGCACAATGACTTTTCAACAGTCTGTAAGCTAAATAGTTGTATTCCAGAAGAGTTATTACATGTTTGGTGCCTCTTAAATCCAACCATTCAGTGAAAATAGAGCTCTCAGATGCAGATATTTCATTTTAATGCAGTCCTTATACTGACATCTGGCTCTTGAAAATCTGGCATGACACAGCCAACAGGTGATATAAATGTCCTTGCAGTAAAACATTTTTCTGCAATATTCCCCAAAGTTTACAGTTGTGCTGATTAAGGCAGCTTTTGCTTATTTCTGGATCAAGCTGAACAGGATTGAATTAGCTTACTTGAGGAAGAATTTGTCTGAAGCATACAGAAACAAAGACATCTGCAGATGTCAGTTTCACTGACTGTTCAAATCACAGCATATTATTTCATTAGTGTAGGATGGATCTGAAACCACCACTGCTGGTACATTCTGTATCCACACACATGGCCAATTAAAATAATTGTGGCTGTTAAGATGATTTTGCAAAATGCCAACCAAGTGAAAAATATAAAAAATTAAAAAGGGGGAGTTTTGCCTGTTCAGGTGTTGGGAAATATTAAATGGACGTTATTAGAATACTAATTAAAAACATATGTTAGCTTTTAAATAATTTTTACTGCATTTCTGCAATAGATAGATCACAAGGAGTCCCTGCACTGGAAAAAGAAAGAAGCTGCTATCTGGCATGGTTGATGGCCATAGAAGAGAAAGTCTGGTTTTAGACATGACTTTGCTCATTTGTTTTTATGGGTAGCTGTAGGAAGGTTGATTTACATTTCTTTTTCTTCCATCTTTTCGTATTTATTCTTAGGTTCTGTTGTTGCTGTATGGCTCTCACCATGTCTCTATAATAGTACTAAAGAACAATTAACTGATAATCCTTCTTCGAGAAAATAACTCCCACTGTAATAATAACCAAATCAAATCTAATTCCTATATAGGTTTTGTATCTACAGGGATTTTTTTCCTTTCTGGTGTATGAAGTTAAGGTTAAGTCCAGAAAAGTTTCATATATATGGCTTTTTACTAAATATGCCAGAATTTTTACCCTTAATATCATTTAAATTACAATAAACCTCCTCAATCAGTAGTTTAATGCCATGAGATTTGAGCCATTTTTCTACACCAACAGCTGCATTTTTGGAAGAAAAATAGGCCAATGTGTAGCAACTCACCAGACTCGTGGCACCCAAAATCCAGGCTTTTTCTCTCCAGGTCTTAACTTCAAATTGAGGTTTTTGGAAACACTTACATTTATTCTGAAGATGCCATGACAATCTTCCTATAGTGAAATAAACCACAGCCTGAGATTAAACAAACGCCCGTGAGAGATGCCAACATGCCATCATAAACAGGACATTTGCCACAATGGGAAAGCAATGTAAAGAGAAATGAAAGGTTATCTACAGGTCTGTGATTAATAGTCATGGACCTTTATCCAGTTGAAAAACGCATCTTAGCAAGGATTCAAAATGCTCTTTTTCTCCCACGACTGACAGTGCTTTTCAATTTGCAAGACTATGTAGCCTTTCATCTCTTTCCTAAAGACCTTGGTCTCTTCAGGTGATATTTCTCCAAATGGAGTAAGAAACAAGGATAACTTTCTCCATATAATCCACATAGCGTTCCCAGTGCTTTGAACCTTTAGCAGTCTAACCTGTTTTTCAGTTGTGGACCTGGGAATGAAGACGTGCAATTTTCCATGGTTAATTCCATGTGCCATCCAGTCCTTTGCAGATAATAATGGCATTAATTTGACAACTTTCTTAAAGATGGTCCCCAATATTTGAACCTGCTTTAGTTTTTAATCAAAACACATCCTTACCCTCATTCGCTGAATCCTTTTTCACCTCTCCCTCCATCATCCTGCTTATGAATGCCCAAGATCTCCATTTCTCATACAACAGCTCTGATTTCCTCACTTGCTTTCCCTAGCAGGCAGAAATTGCACAACATACCAATATTTTGAAGCAGAAAAGCAGTTCTTACCCTAGAGATGATGTGAGGATCATTGCATTTGGCCAGTTTTCCAGCAAAGAGCTGCACTCCAAAGCTTGCAAAAACAAGCATTAAAGTCAGCAAAAGAATAGAAACCTGTAAAGATGAAGTTAGATTTGTTAAGCTCTACTCCTACAGACTTGAAAAAGGGGGTCAGCTCCTTTGGGGAACTGCAGGTAGGATAGTTTTGTGGCATAAACCTGGAGATATGGCTTTAGGTTCTGATGCACTAACCAGGTGCTGCGTTAGTATTAGTCTTATCATTAACATAGGATCTAAAAATAGCGGATAAGGATCAAAGCTTTCTTGCACTCAGTGTACCACCTTGCTAAATTCTGTATGCATAAGAATTACCATTCACCTTAAAGAGAACTTTTCAAGTACTTAAATATGTGCTCCTTCTGTTTTTCTGAAGCAGACTTTATTAACTAATCTGAGTAAGACATTGTTAGATATTTATCCAGGATAGCTACAATAAAGATATGTATGAGTAAATTATGATGTAAATATGTCTAACAGAATACTGCATCTATGAAATACTAACTAGCTTTATACTTTTTGTCCTTGCTCTATTACTGTCTGCAAATATTTTGTAGCTTAGCCTTTTATATCAATGTAACCTAATACAGCATCCTGTTAAGGAATAAAATATCTGTTATTTAGGCTGACAAATACCACATAGAGTCTCAAGACAATAGATTAGGTTCTGATCAAGCAATCATAGACTCCATTACTGCTATTATTACTGTAAGTGCATAATTATGATCATAGTAATAACAATAACATAACAATGAGATCCAGATCTGTGATAAGCAGCTGTATTGTCTCTGGTTGCCTCTCAAAAAACTTGGCGGTAGAGACCTTCAGCTCAGAAACCAGATTTACTTTTGTTCTTGCAGAGCTGCCATATGCTACTTCTTATCTTCCTTGACCAACTAGAATTGTGAATAAGGAGTAGTTTTTTTTTCAGTAGTCCTCCTATGTAACTGTGGTGAAATGTATGCTGAATTAACAAAATTTATAAAAGAATTATTAAAGCAGCTTTATTCAGTATAAATATGAATTACTTATATTCCTAATTTTTAACCTGTTCTGTGGTCATGTCCAGTGATAGCCACAATGACAAGTAAACAGACAACAATAGTGAAAAGAATAGAAAACATACATGTTATAGCAAAATGTTATCTTATTACTCCTTCATATATTTTAACAAAAACAAAATAATTGGCACATACCAAAAAAATTTCCTTAAAGCCACTAAACAGCTCTCGCACCACTTTTCTCATCTGAGGGACTAGTTTGAAAATTCGAAGAGGTCGGAGGCAGCGGAGTACCATTAAGAGCTGAGCTCCGGATTTGGCAGGGACATTCTGAGGCATCCAGCACAGGAATATCAAACTCACCTGGAGATGACAGGGCAGGAAAGGGCAAAGAAGGATTAGGCTTACAATGCCTTACTTGACATAGACACAGCACAGAAGATCAATGACTGCTTCTCTTCCTTAAAATTAAAGGAAAGAATAAGGCAGAAAAGCACCTAATTTAGAAAATGGACTTGGACCTCTTGCGTCCTGGCTTATTGTCTTAACTAAAAGGCATCAGCTTCAGTCTCTGTCTTCCCCTTTGAGTCAGAATCTACTTGATACTTTTCAGCAGATGGAACTGTTCCAAAAGAGAAAACCAATTTGGTTGATTCAGAATAGGGTCACAAACTATATTCTTGGAGCAGGCAGCATTATTTCCCTCCCCCCCTTCTCATTTCAGAGATTCTATCCTGAATCTAAGAAATCCTCACCTGGAAAATCTGTTAACAGTTTTCTCGACAGTTTTTCCTACCACTTTTTTACAGGCATAAATAGTTTTGTCACCATGTGGTCTCATCACACAAATGTTATGTATTTGAAAACATTTTCAAACAGCATAGTTGTGTCTTGTAGCCTCAACAATCTCTGACAAATGGTTATTGATTTAAAGTCTGCTAATTACTTCTTATTTTTTAGAAGCCAGTGTTATTATAAGGGGACAGAGATGAGAGTGTTACAATGAAGTAAGTGCACAAAAAATGGAGGATCAAGCTGATATCACCAATATGATTTAAAACATAATACAAATTGTTAAAACAACAGTGACAAAAGCTCCACCACCTAAATTTTCCTTCAGACAAGCAGAGGGATTCAGAGAGATTTGAAGAAACTAATGCACACAGGAATTATGCATACTACAGTAGTTTTGTAAAAGTATGCATATTTTTATTTATGCTAACAATGGAATCTTAGATACAAATTGATTATGACAAATTTTATGCAGCACATCTGCCTGGTGAATTTATCTCTGAAAGATTTAATCTAAATCCATCTAAGGCATTTTTCTCAGTAATTTCTTCAGTACTAAATAACAGAATAACAGAATATGCTGAGTTGGAAGGGACCCACGAGGATCATCGAGTCCAGCCCTTAGCCCTGCACAGGACCATCCCCAACAGTCACACCATGTGCCCGAGAATATTGTCCAACTGTTTCTTGAACTCCTTCAGGCTTTGTGCTTTGACCACTTATCAGAGGAGCCTGTTCTAGTGCCCAACCACAAATAAAAATATTTCATACTGAATTATACTGGGCACTGGTTTTGACACATTTTGTGGTGTTTACTGTCATACGTGAAGAGGAAATGGACACCCTTCTCCTGTATTTGAATGGAATGCAAGAAATTTCTCAGGTACAAAGGAAACAGTAGAGCAATTTTTTTTCCTGAGAACCACTACTGATAGGTATAGGATATAGAAAGATGTTGTTTTGCTTTCTGCTACAGCAACACCAGCAACAAGGATGTGCCCTTCATCAAATAGTAAAGGCTTTTGAAACACCTTCTATAAGGCAGGAATACTATGGAGAGGGGTAGAAGCAATGAGTATCTATGAAACAGGTAAAATAAAGATTCTCCTGCATAAGAATGCTGAAGCGAGGTCAGAGATCTTGAGTTTACTTTGGAATTAAATCAGATATGACACTTAAAGCATATCAAGAAATAAACAATTGAAAGGGACCATACAATGACCCTACACTAAATTGCCAGGTGCTTATCACATCAGTGTATTTTTAGATGTCTAAACAAGTATTTGTACACATAACTGACAGGAATGCACATGAAAACAGCAGTGTCTAAACACAAATTATACTACTGCATTTGCATCCGGGTGCAAAGCTGAACTTTTTCATACTACTAAACATTTATATAACCAAAGATATCAAAATTAAGAACGCTACAAAAACCTCTCATAAATATAAAAACTTACAAGATATATAAATATGTCCATAACGCCTCCAAAGTCCCTAATGACAGCTGTTGGTGTAAAAAACAAGCCATCTGCCATAATCTTCAGATTAAGCTCAATGCTCATGAATATTACAAAAACATATTCAGCAATCTGAAAAGCAAAGCAGAAAACAGTCATAATTTAGGAATAGGCAGTGGAGAAAACTGAGGTGATTGTGCTTTGTTAATTGTAAAATGATTTGGTGGCAGTACCTGGAGCGTTGGAGCATGCATAACTCTTCTAAAAGGGGATTCGAACATCATGGAAATGCAGGAGCATATAGTAACAATGATCATGACCCAGTCCAGGTAAGTAACCAAACCCAGCAAGTCACTGTGAACAATACATAAGGAAATTCCATTACAGAAATGCCTAGAGTGTACTTGAGCCGCACCTACAACACAGTTAAGTGCTTTCCTATGAAAAATAAATTAAACTGAGGAGTATCAAAGATTTCAGTATTTCAGAAATGTGTACTAAAACCAGAGAAGTTACATGCAAGTGAAGAAGAAAAGTCTGATTAAAAAATCTGCTTCCTATTCATCCTCCTCCCCAATCAACTCCATGGAAAGAAAAACCTTTTTGGGAAAAAGAAAAATATACATGTGCATGCACATATACACACATACATGCAGGTGTGTGCTCACACACTTATGCTGTAGGCTTATGTGACCAAGCAAAGTTACTTTTGCAGTGCTTACTAAAGCTGATGGTATTTGGTATTTTTCACAGCTCCAGTAACAGGATCTGTTTTAGAACTATAAAAAGAAGAAAAGATACAGTAATTTACATTTTATTTTAGTTAACATTATAATTATACCATGCATCTGTCACCTCAAAGTAATTTCTGTCCAAAATCAAGGCTCCATTTTATCTCATCTTAATTTTAAATGTCTGAATAAGTTTCATTTAATTCTATGCAATTTCAGTCATATTACCAACACAGCTGGTATCACTTTAACTGGTTGCTTACCTGTAATTCCTCTAATGATTCCTTGAACTGCTAGTTTTTTGGGTCTTGCTTTTGCAAACAAGGACTTAATTTTGTATTTTGCTTGGAAATGAGGGTGCTAAGCTGCTACTGAATTTTATGTACCAAGATATTTCCTCAGGAGTTCTTTAATTTCAAAACTTCTTGGAGTATGGCTGGATAGGGCTCTGAGAAACCTGTCCTAGTGAAAGCTGTCCCTGTCCATGGCAGACGGGGTGGAACTAGGTGATCTTTAAGGCCCCTTCCAACTTAAACCACTCCTTATGATTTTGTGATTCTATGATATCCTCAGTTAACACACACACACACAAATCCTTCCACATGACCTATTCCTTCTACTACTTCTTCAGTCTTTTTCTGATTAATATTTTTAGATTCTCCATATCTGAATTTTCCTATGTAATTGCTGTGCTCCACCTGCCATGTCCAAGCACCCATTAGGCAGTCAGAAAGAGTGAGAACCACTTTATAAGTAATATACACATAACTAGGAGACATGAGTTAAATTCTTGCTGCAGAAATTATTTACTGATTTTACTTGAAGCTTTTACTTGAAGAACAGAATGACTGCAGCAGGAGAAGCTACCAGAATACTTTCCAAGAAACCTCCCCTGGCCCAGTGATTATGGGCACTTTTACTTATCTTTCAAATCCTGTAGCAAATTATGCCAAGACAGGATCTGCACTGACGTATCCTATATTCCATTGGAGGGCTCTTGCCATTGGGATGTGAAATTGCCATCACTTCCTTGATGAGCTTAAAGTGAAAAATGGACTGAACAGATTTGAGGAATTACTAACAGAGAGATTTCACGGTTATGAATTACAGGAATGCACAAGGCATACAAGAAGTGTCTTCCAGAGGCCAGGTTCACCCACTTACACCAGTCAGTACACAGGACATACTGGACTATGTGCCTTCCCACTGAACACACTGACTTTTGCTGCTTCTTAAAGTCAAGCCTTTTCCCCATATTTTACATAGTAGAATTCCTCAGCCTTTTTTACTAGAAGAAAATACGTATCCTACCAGTTTGAAAAAGATATCTAAAATACCTTACTTGGCAAGCTAGGTAGGACAATGAATAAAGCAGGTAGGATTTAAAGAAATGAAAAAAAAGTACTGCTTAAGAAAATCAGTTTATTCTTATAATTGCAAACATTTTCTTTAAACTGTTTTAAAGTAAATATCCCGTTACCATCAGGCACTCCACAATGGTAAGAGGCACTGACAATTTTTTGACAAGTGGATTGGAATGACTGTTTGTGTGGGGTTTTTCTTCTGTGTTAATTTGCAGTGTTTCATGGACCAGTGCACCACAACCAAGTTAGCAGCTGTATCAAAAAGTGGACATGCCTCTACATACATTGCAGAACACTTAAATATAGGTATTGTTAAAACTGAATATCTAACCTTCCTGCCATGCTAACCAATTTATTGAAGGGCACAGAGAAAATCAATGGTAAAGCAGGTACTGAAACCAGTCCTTACAAGGGCCAAGATCATAGTCTTGAGCTATCTTGTGTCTTACACTGTCTGCAAGGTGACATGCATTAACCCTCAAAAATTAGGATGCCAGTCACAGACAGAGGTTTAAAAGAAGAGCTGTAAGATTATTTTATATCAAGCTGCTTGTACATAGATCTCTATCTGCCATGCTCACACACACAGTTTAGGTGCTGAGTCTTCCTGATTATCATCTGGTTTCAGCTTTTCTCCTTTTATCCCCCACAGCTGAACACCTCCTCATCCCATTCTGGGTCCCTAATTATAGGCTACAGAGTCTTTGGGTGAGCATAGGTGTGATTCATTTCTCTTTACCTTTTTCTGTTCTATGAGTCACTAACTGCTGGTGTATAAAAACTTCTTTCCTTATGATGAGGAATAGGAAGGAAATAGCAAGCTGATTCCCCAAGGTCTAAAACTGGGAAACATTAGCCTTTCCTCTCAGTTCACACCTGTGGTTTCCCCACAGTCTTGTCCCATCTCAGCACCACAGACTGCTCTAACACATCTGCCCCTACACAGCATTTTATTGCTTTTTTTCTTTCAACAGCAAGACTACACCATAGAAAACTGACTGCCAGCTTGCCTGGTGACCACATTATATGCAGTTTTCCTTGTAAAAGAAAAGTTAGGACTTGAATTTGGAGGATATGAAGGCAAACACCTGTTGGAACCAATGTTGATATGAAATGAACTTACGCATTAAAGCGAGCTCGTACCACCACTCGGCAGAAATTCCTGAATCTGTGCTCACGACCAACTATGAAAAGAGGTTTATCAAAATATGGATGATTCTCTCGCAGCTCCTCCTCCTGGACTTTCCTTTTGAAAAAAACGTAAATTATTAAGTGTTACGCATTATACCAGGCAAAAATATCCCTTACACTTTGTTCTTTTTTTCATGTTGACTCTCAATACATTTTACTTCATACAGAGAATAGTTAACACAGAAAATGTGCACTCAGACTTTGATTGTTAAATACCTTTTCATTTCAGCTTGTTCCTTTTTTTCTTGGATCATCTTTATCTCACTGTCTTCTCTCTGTGCATTTCTGTATCTCACTGTGTTAGAGTGCTAGAAGCAAAATGATTCCTTTTAAATAAGGTCTGAGGGTTGTTGTTTTTTTAATGTTTCAGATGAAAGCAAGATATGGTATTTTACATAGAAATATTAAAATGAAAGGTCTTTATTTCCAGTTGTACTGCACATCAACTCAGTCAAGCATATTGCACAGTATTTTCCATCTACAACATAAGGCTCCTTATTTTCATCAAGGTTAATTTCAATTCTAATTTCATGCTCGAGGTTCCATCCAATCTAACTTTTAACTTTAAAAACAGAGGTCCTGTAAGCTCAGCCAATCTCTCTGAACTGGAATGAATACCATCAAAGTTACTAAGGGTAAAGACTGGGAAAGAAAAGGTTTTAGACACCCCTTAAGCTTCTCAAGCCTTCTGCATGGCTTCCACGCTGCGAGGCATGCAGAACATACAGGCAGTGAATGCTGAGCGCAGGGACAGGGAGAGTGAGGGAGGATGCCGTCTGAGCTCATCCAGTGAGGGGTACAATCAGTATTACTATTCCGAGTTATGTGAGTCTTTGGAGCACCCATGGTGGGGTAATGCTGGGTGTTATCCTTACTATTGGACACTAACAAAGTCACATCTGCTTTAGTTACCTACAGTTTAGGTTCAATAAGACCAAGTGCTGGGTCCTGCACTTTGGCCACAACAACCCCATGGGGACAGCTGGAGAGCAGCCAGGCAGGCAGAAAGGTACTGATTGACAGCAGGCTGAACATGAGCCAGCAGTGTGCCCAGGTGGCCAAGAAGGCCAATGGCATCCTGGCCTGTATCAGGAATGGTGTGGCCAGCAGGACTAGGGAAGTGATTCTCCCCCTGTACGCAGTGCTGGTGAGGTCACACCTCAAGTACTGTGTCCAGTTCTGGGCCCCTCAATTTAGGAAGGAAATTGAGGTGCTGAATTGTGTCCAGAAAAAGGCAATGAGGCTGGTAAGGGTCTGGAGCACAAGACCTATGAGGAGCGGCTGAGGGAGCTGAGGTTGTTCAGCCTGGAGAACAGGAGGCTTGGGGAGACATTATCGCTGTTTACAACTACCTGACAGGAGGTTGTAGCCAGGTGGGGGTCAGTCTCTTCTCCCAGACAACTAGTGACAGGACAAGAGGACACAGTCTTAAGATGTGCCAGAGGAGGTTTAGGTTGGACATTAGGAAGAAGTTCTTCACAGAAAGAGTGACTGGGCATTGGAATGGGCTACCCAGGAAGGTGGTGGATTCACCATCCCTGGAGATGTTTAAGAAAAGACTAGATGTGGCACTTAACGACATGGTCTAGTTGACAAGGTGATGTTAGGCCATAGGCTGGACTCGATGATCTCAGAGGTCTTTTCCAACCTAATTGATTCTGTGATTCTGTGATTCTGTTTCTTTGAAGACTTTGATAGTTTGGAAATGAGAGGACTAATATTGCCCATTGAATTTTCATTGTCACAGAGTTCCACAAAATATGGTATGAATTTGCAGAAATGAAAATGCACTTACCTGTACGAAACTATCCCACAGTGAAATCCATGATTACTATTTTCCCTTTTAGTCTCTGTCCTTTCATTTGACAGTTCTACTGCTTGAAAAATATTGCTAAACTTCCACCAGAAATTCTGAAGTGCTGTTTTGCCAGCCTGAGTGATTTGTGTAATTCCAGAGTAAGCCTTTTTAAGGTGTCCTGGGTAGCAATTGTTGTGTTCCTAACGTAGTATCTACAGCTTCAGTGAATCTATCTCAGCAAGTGTTCCAAAACCAGTAAGTCTATCAGTGAAATAACCATGGCAATTATTTTGAGGATAATTCTAATGCAGCTACCGTATTTGTTATATGACTTCCTTTCAAGATTTCAAAAGATAAATTGTAAGCTACTTCATAAAGAGAAATTATTCTTACACAAGCATTTATTTGATAGTATGTAGTCTTATTTTTTATGTTCCCAAAAATCAAAACCGTCATTTCTATGAGGACTTACATCTTGAGTCAACGTTTCAAGAGATTTTCCTCTGCTGATTCTCTGGCTGTTGGAACCATGTCTCAGTGACCTGAAACAATAATAATCAATTTAACAATATATCTCAAGATGAAATTTTGACCTTTATAAGATGGCCATTATAAAGCACTGTTCTCCAGACACCCAATATCTCAAATTCTTATCATTTTTCTCTTGCTAACATCAGAAGCTTATATGCTCTTCAATTGTTTTCAATCTGGTCTAACATAAGCCAATTTCTTTCCTTGTGATCTTCAAACTGATAGCTTTGTAGTTGGCAAAGGAAATGACATTTGAAATAAAAAGGCATTTTTTCCATTTATACAGTACAATGAATTTCATTATGGTTACAATGAAGAATGTAGAATTCAGTTCTTTGTACAAGTAGGTAATTTTGGGTTTTCACATCTTAAGTATTGCTCAAATTTAATTCTTTTTGTCACCTTTATTTTAAGAATAGTTTTAAAACTATCTTTTTTGTCCATGTTTACCTGCGTTCTTGTCGTATATGATGCTGGACACTAAGTATTGACCTTTCCTTTGCTGGCTGCCCCTCAAATGATCCACTCAGCATGCGTTGTCTAGTGCAGGCCCTACGAAGAAATATAAATATGATGACAGAGAGTTTTCAGTATAAATGATAATTTCAGAGGTAGCATATTCAGAAAAGTCAGATTGGCTTTGTGGGAACCAAGTGCTTCAATAATAACAGACAAAAATAATAAAAGAGCAATGTACTTTCCATGAAAACATTTCCAAAGCAATGGTCCTCGCTCTGCAACACAACCAGTCATCCAATGAACCTCCTTCATGCCTTAGCAAGGGCCATCTACAACTTTTTTTTCCAGTTTGCTGTAGAATTTATGGTCCCTCAAGACTTCACAAAGCGTGAAAGGGCTGAAGCAATGCATTAATCCTCAGTAAAACCAGCTTCTCAGCAATAAAGAAGGGAATAGGACAAGTACAACAGCAACTTTAGTCCCTTTCAGAGCTGTATGTACACATTTAAGACTTCTGGCATAACTTTGAGTGTTCTAAATAACTGGAATCATATATGGTATTAAATGAAAAGCAGCACGTTGCTGATATCCTGCAAATCAAATGTCTGCTCTCTGTGAATGCATTCAACTTGCAGCATTTTGCTGTGTGGGTTTTCTCACTTGTTTGCTCACGGTTCATTTTGTTTTGGCAAACACATTTTACATTTTACACGTTTTGGCAGAGATGAGTATTTGTTGGCTAGTAAGTGTACTACAGCTAAACAGAGCATGCACATCTTGATGGCTACAATGAAATTGATTTGCTTAAGAAAAAGAGACGTTCCCTCTGATAGAGCTCACACAAATATTCTGATGCCTGAGAAATGGAATTTCAACACTGGAAACATATTTTAACATTCCAGGAATGCTTCAATTTTAAGTTTACACTGTGCAATCCTTACTGCTCATTTTGTGTTATGCAACCATCCAGAGAAACACAAAACCGAACTGGTAATATTCCATACTTTTTATTGAACAGAATCTCCATTTTGTTTTTTAAAGATTAAAAAAATTATACACCATTTGAGTAACCACTCAATTTGCCAGTCTGCTGTAGGGCTTAGATAAATGCTGTCCTTGACAGCATGGAATGAGCGTGCTTGATTGCAAAAGGCACCCATGGCATGTTCTTTCCCCACTGTGACTTTGTTTTTCACTCTTCTCCGCTTTTTCTCCTTCTTTTGGATATAAACACATAAATGATAGAAGTATGAATCCAAAGTGAGATCTGGAACAAAAACAAGAAGCTTAGAATGCTTATCAGTGTCATCACTGCCAGTCAGATTAGCATGCCAGAAAAAAATACATTGTGCTTCACTTGTTATAAAAAGCATTAGGTTATACTACACTGAACTGAAGCATCATGACATTTAAGAAAATTACTACATGTCTTATAAAACACAGCTCATCTTGGGCAAATCATGAACATTTCAATGCCAATGGATTTTAAGCATTATATTATGGAGGATGATAGCATATAACACTGTCAGAAAACAACAGAGATATCTGAATACCTGTGCAATTTTTGACTAAAAAAAGAAAAAAGCAAAAAATTATTTCCTAAAATAGATTATATCTAAATCCATTAAAATGACAGTCCAGTTTTTCCTAGGAGAGACAATGGAAAGTTCTGTATAGAGGGTTCTCACTGTGACAAAGAGATTAACTTATCTTTTTTCCCCCTGTAAATATAAATTATTGCGCTTTGCTTTTAACAGCTAGAAATTATTTTCTTGACATCAAAAAGTGACTTGCACATAAACTTTTCATGTTCTTGTACACAATTACTTGAATAACAAGTCACATAAACTCTTAGTGTTCACAATAAAAGAGATTTTAAATGCTCAAACAATAAATTCTTTACCCGACTAATGAACAAGATGGCTTATTTTACTATTAATTGTATAATACAATAGACTTAGCCCATATACTGTGGACATACTATGGCAGAATGGGCATGCATAAAGAGTAACTAACACCTGCAGAAAGACTTAGTATTGTTTATGTCTAAGTTAGATTACTAAATCCATATTTAGAATTTACACCCATTGCCTTATTTTCAATACCTCTGGAAGCCCTGCAGCTCCTACTGAAGTGAACAGAGAAATAATGAAATGCCAGTTGTATAGCAGAGAGATCAGAAATTTTTATCAAGTAATTGCAAAGAAATTTTTTTGTATTTCCAGAGAAAAAGATGCTGTCCTGAAAAAGCCATGGCTCCTTTTCACAGTCTCTCTCTGAGCATTCTCCACTTCATGGGAATGATTGCCTTAATCTTCCTTGTATTTCCAGATACTTTGTTATACTTTCTTATACTTTTGAATCAGAATCTGGATATTTTTCAGCTGCTTAGACACCTAGAGTTGCAGATCTTTGGGACTTTTGAAAAAGAAGGCAAGTGCCATGAAGTTTTCAGAATTGCATGGTTGCCAATTTAAAAGTCTGCAGTAGGATTTGTGTTCTCATTGCAGACATGTACACTTACGTACTCACTCTCAGTGCCTGCATGTGATCCGTGTGTCCAGGCTTCCCTCATAACCAACAGAGATGTAGGACTCAAATTGGTTGTACAGAGGTGTCCAGCACCACCTGCCATGCCTTGGAGTATCTTGCCTTGCTTCCAGCTGCTGCTCCAGCAGGGTACAATAGCCCTACAAATTTCTGTATTACCTCCCATCTTCAAGAGGATGTCTTTGACATCCTCTGGCGTCTCATACAGTACTGTATGTCCCTATGTGGACAACTTCATTGAATGCTTGGTGAATTAATTTAATTAATTATGTTCTGAAAGTAACCATAAAGTGGGCATCTAAAGACAAAGCAGTTAGCTAAAGATCTCACTGGGCTACACTATTTTTATTGACTAGACTTCTGTCAACTAGATGGTCATCACTTAGCTCACCGGCAGATTTGGCTGCCTGAAGCTGAATCCCACACTGGGGACAATCACTGCGCCACAGTGTTTAAAATTCAGTCCTATCTGATTTGAAAACTGGAGTTTAAAAAAAAAAAGCTTTTCTTGCCTTGATACATCTTTATGTAACTGCAGCTGGTCAGAATCTTTTGACTTTTCTTTGAACAACAGAGGCAAAATCACTTTTTTTTAGCTAAAATTGTCCTTTTTATCTTCCTATACCACCTCTATGATAGTGAGGTTCACTTTCACTTGTGGAGGAATAAGGAAGTCATGAAACAAAGGAGAAGAGATAAGAAATATGTCAAGCTTTCAGACTCCCATTGCAGAACTTGGAACAGAGTCCAGCATCTGCCAACTACATGCTCCAAATCTTCCTTGAAAAGTTCAAATACAATAAAATATCCTGAAACAGAAAAAGCAATTTGGTAGCTTATTAGAAAGCAGCTGAAATTACACAGAACAATATACTACTGGGATACCACATAGTTTGTGCCACATAGTTTGTATTACCTGTAACCTGATAGGAGGTCCAAACTTCTGAAGTCCTTCAAACTATTTCCTGCTTTGGGATCCCTGAAAAATAAGTAGTGAACAGAGTGTTCAAGCAACATTCTTTGACCTAATGTAAAATGTTAAATATTTTGATCGATACTTTAAAATACTATACCTTTAATCAGTATTCCAAGGTCTCTTGCAGAGGGTATGCATATGGCTCACACTTGGACTTTTTAGTCAGGCATCCTTTCCGCAACAAGTGTTTACTCCAGTATAACACCAATTTGGGTTTTTTCTTCGTTATTTGAATGAGTGAGTACTTATGTAGTAACTGTAGCAACTGCATATATTACTGTGTGCTTTTGTTCCTGTTCTCTCTGAAATGTGCTCAAACTGAAGTCTTAGCAGTGTGGTACCCTGCAGTACAACACTCAGTTATCATCCTCGTTCAGCACTGTTTCCACTCTCTATGACTCTCTAACCTTACTAAATCTTTCTCTGTTCTCATTATAATTCCATCTAACTTGGAATATATGGTTGAGTGTGCCAATCTAAGATTTATGGGGAATCCACCTGATAGATGTTGTAGTGTTTCTTTCTTTCATTTATAAATTTAATTCAATAAGGCACTTTTTGAATAGCAAGCAAAATGCACATTTTCACCACAGCTATACTACTGTTCTTTTTTTAAAGAAATATGAATTTGGCTGGTGAAATAAAATGGATTATTAATGCAGCTTATATAATCCATGATTTTTCTTTTCCATGTTTTTTCTTGTTTCCTTCCATATGCCTCTAAAGAAAAATCCAGTCACTTATCTTTAGTGTCTGCTCAGCCAGTTGAGCTATGGTAGCAGACTTTGTTCTTTAGCAATTTTTTACTCTGATTGCCATTCTTGCCTTGCTGTTTCAGCTTCTCCTCTCACAGATATTACTATAATAACAATTTGTATTGGATTGTAGAAGAATTAATAAAAGCAATATAGAAGAGGAAACCTCAAGTGACCATCCAGTCTATCACCTCTCTCAAAATGGGATCAACGATAGCTACATTATTTGGGGCTGATGTTTGTCTAACTTCTTTTTCCATACCTGCAGTGTTGGAGACTCCATAGCCCAATAACTCTACTTCACAACTGTGCTTTGCACTGATCCATAACATGGTGGTCAGCTGGCACAAACCCCATGGAACAGAGTAACTTCTTACCAATGGATATGTGCATTCCAGAATTTCCTTTTTTTTTGTCTTTGCATTAGGTAGGTGAAATCCAATCATGCCATATGCTTGTAGATATTGAGAAAGGTGGACTAAGTCTGGATTTCGCACCTGACGACAACTAACATCAACTTATCTGGAACATTTGTCCTGAGAAATGCATGGTATCAAACCCTCAAAGTTATGAAGAAAGAAATCATACTCTTAAGAGAGAAAACATAAAATATATGCCAAGAAATTTGTTGCAAATAAGTCAGAACTAAGTCACTTATTTAATGCAGGCAAGTTTCTAATAAAGAATAGTATGTCTTCTAGGATCATAGAATCATAGAATCATTTAGGCTGGAAATGATATTAAAGATCAAGTCCAACTGTTAACCCAGTATTGCCAAGTCCACCACTAAAGCATGGCCCTAAGTGTCTTTT